GGGGGGGGGGGGGGGCAAGAGCCATACGAGATGGTTATATGGTGTATAATGCGTACACGCGTGTAAAAGGAGAGAGGAGCACAATTGAATCTTTTTCACTTTTGGACATCGGACGAGAGAGGGATCAGAGCGAAGGTACGCTCTGAGAAGAAAAAGAGAGAGAGAGAGAGAGAGAGAGAGAGAGAGAGAGTTCGTAAAGATAAATAGAAATAGATCTTTCTAATTCGGGCAAACTCTTACGTTTTTCCTCTTACGCTCCAATACTTATTCTCTATCGTTCTCTTTCTCTCCGTCTCACACTCCATCCCTCTCTCACTCACTCACTTCCTCTCTACAGGCATTCTCTTCTTCGTTCTCGTTCTCCCTCGCAATCGCGCGCCACGACCCTTCAAAGTATAAGAATAGAAGGCGTCGGTCAGCCCAACGGGAGGCGTCGCGGTGACTCGCGACGACGTTACCTGTTCTCTTTGCCGTTGCTCCAATTTATCTTGAGAACTCTCCTCCAATACCTCTTGAAGCAGAGTGTACAGTTCCCAAGAGTGAAACAGAGAGAGAGAGAGAGAGAGAGAGAGAGAGAGAGAAGAAAGGATACACAGAAACTTCAGGACGAATGAAGAGAGAGCGGTGATAAACGAAAGAAATAGGAATGCAAGAGATAAAGAGAGAGAGAGAGAGAGAGAGAGAGAGAGAGAGAGAGAAATAGAATGTCAGTTCAAGAATAACCATGGTCGTCTCCATCATCGTATGGCAAAAGGTCTCCCACCAGTCCACGTAAAAACTTTACTGGCTCCGGGACCTCTTCTTCTGGTACACATAACCACAAGTGATTTTCGCACGCTTGCCAAAAGTAATATCGGCACGTCATTCCCTCTTTGGCATTGCTATCTACCTATCCTCCTTGCATAACCTCCATGGTATTCTTATATCCGTAGGCACCACTTCCTCCTGTTCCCACGTCCTCCAAATTCTCCGATACATACAGACACACGTCCTATCCACGGGTTGATCAATATCCGATGCACGTATTGGTGAAGTGCACCTACCAGTTTCGTACTGCAGGTCCAGGTCGGGTCCTACAAAGCCAAGGAGACGGAGAAGCAGGAGGAGGAGGACGTCGTGCCGGTTAGCTTTCTCGGCGGCATCTCGCCGTATATGGACACGTTCGGCATCACTGGCCTAACGTAACACGTACTCGTATACGTCGGTACTGCAACTCCCCCGAAATTCAATGCAAGCATATTCGAGGATGCATCTCTCAGTGCAACTCCTCATTGCTATATTAGGCGATACGACCCGTGCGGTTTCTGACTCTCGGAGCCCAGTAGAAACGAGTGCACAGTACAGCACGGTACCGAAATCCCGTCGACGATACTCTACCCGCAACACGTACCTCGTGCTCATCGAAACTTGCCATACTTTGAACACGATACCGTACCCGGATAAACGTGCGGATGAAATCGTGAAACTTCGTATAAACCGGCCGATATGCATAGCCGACGAGTGAGAATTTCAGCAGCGTGGAATCCGATCCGTTTCCAGCGTGGAAACGATAACAACGATGCAGACGAGTCAGGTCTTGCGAATCTTAATCCAATTGTCGGATGAGAAACGAGCCAACGATTGCTACACAATAAATGGATTTCCTATTGACCAACTCTGTTCACCTCGGAGCCTATCCTCGTCTAGCTATAGATTCTACGAGGATCGACGAGCATTCGCCTCGCAGTCGCTACTCCCGACGGAAGTTCAGGGATCCTTCGGCTGCGACTGCTTGACACTCAGATCGGATTGTGCATTGGACACGAGCACTGTCACTCTTGTTTGTTTGGCTTACGCGTCCTTACTCCACTCTGGTACAGCGCTAAAGACGTACGAAGAAGATGGCGGACGATACCTGAATGCCAACGTTTCGCGACGGAGCACGTCTCCCGATGAATTACACAGCGAGTCTTCTCGATGCTTCAATCGAGGAGTCTGCGGACTCCTTGAACGACACTGCGTTCAGTTATGATTAGTATTCGAGGACGGGAGCTCTGCGTCTCTTTGTTCTTTCTCTCTGCCCCCCCCTCTCTCTCTCTCTCTCTCTCTCTCTGTCTATCTTTTCTTTCAATAGCAGACAACCGCAATGCTTATTGATCCCATAACGCAATAAGTGGCGAGCAAGAAGTCGGGCGAGTGACTGAACTTCATTTTCTAAAGAAGTTTGACATTTACGTGCGGTATACCTCTGCATCGTAGCCGATTGACATTATCCTCGAACGGTCCCCTTATCGAATACAAGAACGTCACTCGTCATGCTTCTGACTTCTATGCTTATTAGCAATGCCGACGTTCGTTTGGTATAGGTATAACGTCGCGAGACTCAACTTGAAAATGAGACAGAGCATTATCGCCAGAGCGGAACGCGTTTGCTGCTCTATTAAACCTTTAACGCGTTTCTGGGTCCAATGACTCGGCGACGATGTCCGAGGACACCCGGGATGGTATTATACAGTGTGTACTCGTGGCTGTGTCTAACGCGCTCTCTACAAACAGGGCTCTATGTGACCAGTGAGCCTGTCATCGGGTGTCTTGACCAGGGGAAGTCGCATCCTGGTGGCCGAACGACAAACTCAACGTCCTACACTTGTTTTCTTCTATTCTCTCTTTTTCTTTTTTTTTCTTTTTTTTTTTGTACTCGACGTCTCTCTCTCTCTCTCTCTCTCTCTCGCCATCGCTAAAAACTCTTGAACCTCTCCCGCGGAGTGGAGATAGAGTACGAGCCAATCCTCAGAGCTTCAAGAGGGAACGTTCACTCACTCACTCATTCTCCTTGGCTCTGTATACATTATACCCACCGGCACGTACACACTCGTTCTATCGGAGCACTCAAAAACACTCGAGCCGAACGCGGCCGATACGATACCCCACTATAACCTGGACCGTCGATAATGGACCTTGGGGAAGAGCCCCTTCCGCGTCTCTTCCTTCCGGTACGTTCTACCTATACGCACGTCTCTACGAGGGTTACGTGAATGCGTCTAATATATACATATATATATGCCCGAGAACTCTATACGATTACCCAGCAGTCTGGTTCAGACCGACAGTTCCTAGAGACGAACCTGGCACGCTTCCTCGTCAGTCTGACCGTCCAGATCCAAGAGATGGATGGTCGGTAACTGTACGAAGCGGCGGTGGGTGTCTACGCTCGAGCTGTTGTAACGCTCTTCTCTGAAGACTCTATTAAAAATAGAGCGCTCGTCCGCGACCCAGTTCCTCCCCCTGTCCTCTCCCTTGCTTTGGCGAAATCTTCGAGGTACGATGAATAATTTGCATGACTATATAAATACTCCGTACCGTTTCTTCCTCTCGCAGTCATTCCGTAGTGTATGTATATATTTTTTCGTCTTCTCTTTCTCCGAGATCCTCGACGGATCTCGTCACCCCGTCAATCGAGCACGACGATGTCCGAAGCGTCCCGTAACTCGGGCCATCGTGGAACGAGACGGTGACGTTCGTCGAACGTAGACACAGAAGCCCCGTGACTCGCTGGTCACGACGGAAACACGAAATCCCGGTGATCCCCGTGGCTTCGATGTATCGCACAAATTTTACGAAAACATCCCGCCGTGTGGCTTTCCCCGCGATTAGTTGCCAGACGCGTGTGGATCCACGTACAGGGAGATACGCGTGTCTATTTTAATACCGTGCGAATGCGCTCGTCGACGCTATCGCGAAAGGGGAGCAGCCTCTCATCTTGTAAAGTCGCAATTGGATATCCCGAGCGTTATCCGAGTTTGGTATCGCGAGACGACAGATTGCCATTGCGATGACTGCGAATCATTCTTACGTGCCTGTATGTCGCTTCTGGCCGTTCCTGGTAAGCAGGGCTGTAAAACGTTGGCTTCGACTTGCGAGTGAACGTGCAGACCGCAGAGAACGCCACGAATACGCAGGCAGACTGCTCGACGACTAATCCGATGTATAGGCTGTGCAGCACGTCATACGGACGGTTTAAAGTCGACTGATTAGAGAAGAGCTATATGCGCTATGCTGTGCGGTCGGTACTGTCTCTTGCGCGTGCTGGATCCATCTTTGTTATTCGGTCTGTAGTTGTGGCGTAGAGAGACACACTCGAGTCGGTATTGGATCCTTGAGGAAGAAGGACAAAAAAAAGTACTCGAGAGCCATTGAGGTTAATTACGTGGTAATTTAATTGGGTCGTTCGTTTTTTTTTTTTTATTCCTCTTTAGACTCTTCTTTTTCTTCAACATCTCGAGAGGGCATTTGCTTTGTCGTGAGATAGCTGAATTGTCTGGTACGCCCTGTATACAGTATGCACAGAGTGTGTGCATTTATGTAGATGGTCGTATGCATGGGTCGGGAGTGGCTGCGAGTACTCGGGTACGGCCTATGGCGATGCGCGATCAAGTGTCACGTATTCGCGGGCTGTTGAGCTGTATGAGGCAGTGGCTGTAGACTGACTTGTCTTCGTGATGAGAGAGAGAGAGAGAGAGAGGGGGG